GCCATTCAAGAATTACTTTTACTAGAAGTACCACTAGGGGGCATTAAAAACAGCTGGTATCTTCAGATGGGTTGACTGTAAATTACCTTACCTCAGAGGGGTGTTCTGGGTGCCAACTGCTCACAGTTTAAGTACTTTGAAAGGCCTCAGGGTTGGTAATACAGGCCTCAAAGGCACAGTCAGAGGCCATCTAGCAGAAGGCTAAAACAAGCCACAGAAAAAAATGTAGCAGGGTGCATATGTGGTACTCTGTGCAGCTGGAAAATGAACAGCTGGGAAGAGAAGCTGGGCTCTGGGCAGGTGACAGGGGAAGGCAGGGGCTGGGCTGCACCAAGCAAACAGAAGCCTAAAAACAAACAGGCGAAATGTCCAAAAAGGGACTGGATGCATTCTGGGAGGAGAGGGGCATCGGTGGTAGCTACTGGGCACGAGAGGTAGGGATGCAGCCTCTGAACTGGAACGTCCTAGACCTTAAATGCCAGAGGCTGCAAGTGAGAGACGAACAGCGAGGAGAAAACCCAGATCAGACTCAGTTCATTCTGCCTTTCTGTCCTTGTGCAACAGGCGTTTTTGATGTGTCTGATGCATCCTGGGCTTGGGCCCAGCCAGGAGGAACTGTGAGCCTCCCTGGCCCCTGTGCAACGGGCTTATCTGACACGTACCGGGAACAAGGGCCCTGGGCCCACAGAGCAATGGTTAGCCCACCCCGTTAATAGAAGGGGCCACTGGGTACGTGGCAACCAAATTTGTAGGCCAAATGAAGGGTAAAACAGGGACTGCAGTGAGGTCGCAGGTTTAAAACGAGGGCACCGATGGGGGCACCAAGCAGAACACACCATGCTGGGCAGTGCCCGTTGGCCACGTCCAAGGAGCCAGCCGACACCGCACAGAGAAACTCCACCTGGAGACGCCACCAGACCTGGGGCTGGCTTATTTGACATGCCATGGCATCACGGGGCTCAGCCCATCGCAGGGAACTGCTGAGGACACACCGACTAAACGTGTGGGACGACAAAAAAGAAAACCGGAACAGGAGCAGGGCCAGAGGTTAGTAAGCAGGGCGTCGGAAGGGGATGCCGACCAGAGCAGGCCGGCTCCTGAAGGAGTTGAGGGAGCCTGTGGACGCCCACGTGCGAAACCCTGTCGGCTATGACTGGCCCACGGCTGCACTGGGGATGCATGAGCCAGAGGCCCAGCACAGGGAACCACCAGCCGGGGCGGAGGCAGGCTCCTGAGAAAGTGGCAACTGATTGCTAAGGACAAATGCGAACCAAACAGGGACGGGAGGGAGTCACGAGTGTGCCACGCGGGACACGCAGCACAGCGC